TTTTTATTTTCTAGCCTGCAAGAATGTTACAGATTTTGTATCCAAGGCCTGTTTAGGAGGATGCTTTGCTTTTCCATTCATTGCATTCTGCTTTTTGTTTGCCCAAATGAAAACAGTTTGTTTTTATCCCCTAATTACAAAAATGCTTTCTGTAAAGATTTGAAAATACAGAAAAATATAAAGATGAAAGTAAAAGTATCTGATATTCTACCCCCATTATTTGTATTTGGGAACCAGCCTTGAAGACATAGCTCTAGGTATACTGTTTTTCTGTATTTTGTTTGTTTCCCACTCACCAATGTTATATATGGGCAACTTTGCATGTCACTTGGAAACTGCAGTTCTTCGTCTCTACTCTTAAAATTTCATCTTTGTGTGAGAACTCCTATCCTCCTGAGTGAAACTTTGGGAATATAGTAGTAAATAGAAAGAGAAAAGGATCCTTAGACCCTTACTACAACCATACTTAACGATGTGGTCGAATTCTTCAGGCTTCACTCAAGTGAATAAAGAATGGAAAGATCTGCAAAGCTTGTGGTTAAAATTCAATTTGAAAATAAAATAAACCCAGTGGCTTGGGAGCAAATCAAGTGTTCTTTTCTCACTCCTACACCTCACCCTCACCTTTTTTCTTATTTTAACAGTAATGTGTGTTTATTTAGGAAAATACAAACAGGGGGCAATAATAAAATCACTGGTCTCCAACTAATCAGAATACTTATGGTTAATATTTTGAAGTATATGCATTCAGTCTTTTTCTATGCATATTTGTTTATATAGGTATCAACACATGTAATTCAAAAGGACTCTTTAAAACGTCTGTTTTTTCTCTTTATTCACTGCATTGCTGTTCCTGCAGGGCACTGCTTTTATTATGAGCAGGAAACTACATGAATTAAAGCTGGCTTTGGAGATACACAGCCCATTGTACCAGCACTTTGCATAGTGAGGTATACACACCAAGGAACGAAGGTGATGGGTGTGTTTTGAAATTAATACACCAATTATTTTCAATACTGCTATACTGGAGTTCAGTTTATCCACTGGGCAGGTTGCTCCTCAAGTTCAAATTCCCTCAGCACATTCTCAACAAGTATCTTACATAACTTGTATAAATGAGGTCATGTCAAGGTCAGAAGCTCTGTATGCATTTAGACCTCCTTCTACTTCATTGATGAAATGTCTATGATCTGAAGTGCATTTTGATAAGGAAACTATCTCACCTTCATCTATTTAATGACATGAAACAGATGCATGGTGTGATGAGGTCTTTTACTTTGTATGTGGCAACAAGTATATATATCATGAGAAAGATACTTTTCCTTATTCCCAGGGAAGTCAGTTCCCTTCTGAGGGTCTGAGACTCTATTAAATCACAAAGATCATTGCTATCTGTGCCCCCGAGTGATGGTTAACAAACAAAAAGCACTCAGAAGAAACCTTGCCTTTGATAGTCAATATAGTGCATGCTGTTTTGGTTATCTACTACTGTGAAAAAAATCCACCCCAAAATTTAGTGGCTGAAAACTATTTATTATAACTTCTCACCATTCTTTGTGTTGACTAGGCTCAAACAGGCACATTTCTGCTGGTCTTGCTTGGAGTTTCTTATATGTGGTTGCAATCAGATAGTAGCTGGAGCTGGATTTCTCTGGGGGCTTTACTAGGTGGGCTGGAAGATCCAAGATGGTTTCTTCATTCACATGTCTGGTGCTTTGGTTCACATATGCTCTCTCTCCACCTAAGAGTTTTATCCTCCATGACTGCTTCTCACTGCCTCTCTTTCCATCAGGGTAGTAAGAGTTCTTATATGATGGCTGATTTCCAAGAGTATAACATTAAAAACTGTCAGGCCTTTTTTAGGCCTGGGCTGAGACCTGGCATAGTGTCACTTTTGGACTCCTGTAAGTTAAAGCAAGTTGCAGGGCCAGCCTTGATTCAATGTGGGGGGACTACGCAACTGCCTCAAGGAGGGGTGGTTCACTGGATGCCCTCTTTGGAAACTTGCTACCCGATATGTTGGACAAAGTAGAATTTCAACTATAATTCTAGAACAGTCTGAATATTTTCTGGCTCCAACACGGAGTGAAGTTGAGGGGAAGTGATGATAAGAGGAAGAAGCCACAAAGAGATGGAGGATTTTGAAACAGTCAGTACATTCTTGGGCCTTGCAACTTGGCATATTAGAGCACAAAGAAGGTGGAACAAATAGGTCGGTGCATCACCATTATTGAAACTTTATGCACTTGGAACTTTATGCACTTGGCTTACTTGATGTTTATTTTTTGTGAGAACTCTGGAGCATGGTATCACAATTCTAACACATCTCAAGCACGTATGGAGGGTTGTCTCCAAAGACAGCAAAGAATTCGGACATCAAGGAAAATGAACGTGGGTCAATAGAATGTGAAACCAATGGGGGCGGGCAGGGGGAAATAAAATAGTAGCTAGGAAAGGCTGGCAGTAAAAAGGGCTCCCATAACACCAGGTCAGGAGAGAAAAACCAGCACCTCCTCTTCCCTGCTCCTCTGGAGCTTCTCAGCACGCAGTATCTGTGCTTCCACAGCACAATGTCCAAGTTTAGAGGGCAAAGCAAGGGCTCCGGCTCTCACGGGAAGACACGGTCACACAGTCGCATTTCGCAGTCTACAAACACTGGGCATCTCCTTGAAATGGGTAGTCTGAGAAGGTTTCCTTTTCTGGTACTGAATCACTGTTCAATGCCAGACAGCTTTTCCTCAGTGTTTGTTTTCCTTATACATGTTCAGACTCTTATCATATTGCTCCCCTCCCTTTGAAAATATGTACTCTGCAGGTGCCTGAAAATAACATACACCCAGCAAATTGCAGTTTTGTAAAAGAAAAGGTTATTACGTTCAGTCTAAACTCTATGGAAATTTTGTTGCTTAACAAGGAAATACCAAATGCATTATAAACTCATGGAGAGCAATAACTATGTCATATATGACTCTGGTATCTCCTACCTACTGGGTTCACTGGCTTTTCTGATGTAGTAGTTTTAATAAGTAACTTGAATTGTTAACAATATACTCTTGTCTTCCTCAATGCAAAAATGTCATTTCATTATTATGTCTCTGCATCTTTCATACCAGGTTCTTTGTAAACAATTTCTCCTAACCTTGTTTTCACTGTGCAGATAATATTGCTGGGTTTTCATCTAACAGCCGAAAGGATTTAATGAGTCCAAGAAGCTTGCTTCAATTACAAGTAATTCATTTAGGCTTCACTTATCTCAAGGGATATTTGAACATACAAATTTACACATAAATCTTGGGAGTGTCAAATTATGCAACCAAGAGAAAGTAAGTTCCTTGCAGTTTTGGGGCGTTGCTCTGCTACAGTCAGGCTTTGTGTGTGTGATAAGTTTTTGAATGAAATAAACCAGTATCTGCCGGTACTATCTGTTAATACTTCACCTGGTTTTGAATAATTCTAAGAAGCTAGCAAATGAAAACCAGTCTTGTTAAAGAGTTAGATTGTAAATATGTAAGAGAAAAAAAAACCACAATTTACCTTTCTTCTTTTAAATCTTATAAGAATTCACAATATTCCTGGTTTCAAATATTAATACTTGAAGTTTTCTGTGGGCAATGATTAATTTTTAAATAATTGTTTTTAACATGAAACAATACATATTTATTGAAGATTTAAAGCATTCTTAAAGTAACAGAGATAAAGAAAAATCGTTCATGATTGTACAGCTATTAATATGAGTGACCATTCTTCAGTTTTTTTCTAGTCACATATTTTTACCAAACGAGCCCATACTATACAAACCATTTTATAACTTTTTTTTACTATATTTTCAGTACGTGAAAAGGAAGTTTGTAAAGATCATAGCATGTTGTAGTATTACACACTATATCACGCCTTGTGGCGTGGTCTGTGTACTCTGGTAGGAAGAGAAAGCTCTTGGGTTTCCGTTTTCACCCAGCTCTCGGTGGGCAATACTGACCACTCTCGGACCCTAACAGACTTCTCCGTTTGCCCTTGGCGACCTGAGCCAAGCGAGAGTGCGAGCACGTGGGAGTAAGTGGAGGGCGTTCGGGATGACTGCGAGCACGGGCTCCCAGAGCGGACCGCATCTCCCCTGGGCAGGGCCCACTGGCCCCAGCCCCGGAAAGGAGCGAGGGAGAGCGGGCAGTTGGCGGTGCGCAGGGCCTGGGTCCAAGCCTTTAGCCCCCCGCTCCACCCCGCTACCCCCAGGCTGGCGCCACTCTTCGGCGGTAGGGTGAGATAAAGCGAAGCAAAGTTCTGAACTCCAAACCTGGGAGGCGCAGCTCTGATACCAGCGCCTTTGCCGGGGTTCCGTGTGTGTTTGCTCTAACTGTTCAAACTGTTACAAAGCGCCCGAACTCGAGCGACCTTCCCAAATAACTCTTAATCTCTCGGGCAAAAGCGCTGCCCTTACTTGTGGGGGAGGGTAAACTGAGCACGGGGACCGGGCAGCTAAAGGGGGGCACCTCTCGGCACCCCACCCGTTGGGACCCCAGCCAGCAGTCCCATCACGCCTCCAGGCCGCCAGCTTCTTGCGTCAGCCGCGGCGGGGGTGGGGGATTTTCTGCAGCTCGGCCGGCGCAGCCAGCGGGGGAAGGAAGGCCCAGGCTCTTGCCCCGCCCTATGGGGCGGGAGGCGGAGCGGGCCAGAGCGCGGCGGCGACTCCGGCTGGGTTGCCCAGCAGCGAGTGCCGGGGAGCCTGGAGGAGCCGCTGCCACCGCCACCAGTGCCTCCCTGTCCGCGCCGCGCCTCGGCAGCTAGGGCAGGACTGCCGTCGAGGAGCCCAACACACGGTCCCCCCGTCAGCATGATGGACTTGGAGCTGCCGCCGCCGGGACTTCCGTCCCAGCAGGTGCTGCCCGGGCCTTCGGGGTCCTGCGGTGGTGCCAGGACGGGAACAGGGGAGCTGAGGAACCGCCGCCCGGGAGGGACAGCCGCAGCCGGCTTCTGCCGTCTGGCCGGAGCCCGGACTGTAGCGGCCACGCGCTGGACCCGCTGCGCTTGCGCTGGAGTTGGGCAGGGAGGGGAGTGGGGACATGGCCAGTTGGTCTGACTGACCACGAGCCCGTGGGCGGCTGGGTCGGGGTTTGGGGACTTCGCCCACGCGCGTGGGGCGAAGGGACGTCTCTTAGGTGCGTCCCCGGCCTCAGAGCAGGGAGGCGGGAACCCCGGAGTTTGAGCCGCCCCACAGGCGGCTGGGCGGGAGGGGGCGGACGCTGTCGGTCTGAGCCGGCGCGGCCCAGCCCTTCCCGGATTGCGATGCTCCCCCGCCTCGGAGCTGGCAAAAATGTGCCTAGTCACGGGGCCGTTCTTGGGGGAGCTGAGGTCTCCTCTGGGCTGGGACCTGCAGCCGCTTCTCTGCCGCTGCACCCGACCCGGACCCCAAGACCTCCGCGGGCGCGGGCTGTGGGGGGCCGTCTATGGGTGCTGCTTTGCGAAGTCATCAGACACTCCGAGCACTCTTTGGCAGCCATGGGTTTTATAGAAAGCCCAGCCTCCAGGGGGAGGGAGGAGGTCATGAAGTGCCTAGCGCCCTCGAATGCCCCGACGTGCGGCGGCTTGCCCGGGTCCCGCGCGCTTCCTCGGGCCGGGGAAGAGGTTCGGGCTCGGGGACCGGGGATTGGCCCCTAGCGACGCGGCGGGAAGTGCGGGCGAGCCCAGCGGACTTGTAGTTCCGGGCGGGGTGCTTCCTGCTGGCGCACGCCGTGTGCGTGGCCTCGGCCTCCGCGACAGTGGCCGGTTGGCTGTCTCGGCGGCCCTCGGTTGGCCCTTTCCTGCTTTATAGCGTGCAAACCTCGCCGCTCTGGGGCCAAGGGACATGTTGGAGCTGTTGATCTGTTGCGCAATTGTTATTTTCCCCAGGGCGGCTTTGTCTTTGGATTTAGCGTTTCAGAGTTGCCTTTCCAAAATGTGTAAGACAGGATATTCTGTTCTGTGTTGTCAAGGGTAAGACTTGCGAGTGTAGATTAGAATTTCTATTGCTTTTAGTCTGTTACTAAATTTTTTGCTTTCAGCTGTTATTTCTCCCTTGGGTACTTAACTTTCTGGGTTGAGAATTTGTCTCAATTTCTTAGCATGCCTCTTTTGCAAGAGCCGAGAGTGGGACACGGGTTTCATAATACTTTGCTAGCAAGTTCTGTAAGTTGTTATCGAAGTGAAAACAAGTTTCTGTTCATACTTTATAGGAACGTTTAAAGGAGTAGATATTTATATTTGTAATTTTTTTGTAATTGCGTTTTTAGGATAAAAACATTTGGTTCAAGGAAATGTGTAACTTGATAGGTACAGTAAATATGTTTATGCTTAAAGTTTTAGGCTTCCAAAGATCTGATGTACGGTTTTAAGTTATTGACAATGTATTAATTGTGTTTTTTTTTTCTCTTTAAAGTCGTTTGTCTTGAACTTTACCCATTAATGATTGGGATTGTGTTCTCCTGGTTCCCACTACTATGAAGAAAAGTAAATTGTACTTTCTGATTTACCTGCTGTTCAAGAGTTATCTATAAGAATGTTTGTTTGACCAAAGGATATATAATGCAAATGAACTTTAGTTTTCCTAATTTCAAGAATTGTAGTCTAGAGCCCTCTATTATTTTTTAATTTTTCTTTCTTTACTGTGTAACATAACATTCTGTATACAAAAGTATGTAAAACATATGTATAGCTTTACGTGTGAATGTTTAAATTGATAAAATATCTGCTTTTCCACCTTTTAATCATCCATTTACATATTTGAAAACTATGAAAGAAAAGCAAGTAAAATTTAGAATAAATTTCATGTGTATGATTCATATGAAATCATTGTTTATAGTCCAAAAAGATTTGAACAGAGTCAGAAGTGTTCTTGACCTTTTGTCAAAGAAACTCTCCAGGTGTGAAGTGGATGAGGATACAGTTTTTCATCATCTGTGCACAGGATGTGTTGATAAACAGGCCAGTAGGAGAGCCTTAGAGTCTGTGTCTCCGTTAGGTGGAAGGAACTATCCGTTACTCTTTTCCAGTGTGTCTTGGAGAGATTAAAGTATTTTTGTAGATGAGGGATAAAGTTGATCTCGGACTAGACAGATTATTTTCAAAAGTCAAACACAAAGAAAAATAGGACAGGCTTCATCTCCTGAACGAATATTAAGCAAAGAACAACTTGACTTTTTGGATATGTGAAAAAATCTCTTGAGAGATTGTGGAAGCAGTATTGTAAGAGGATAAATGCACAACTCGCATCAGTCTTTCTGCATTAAAAATAACTTGGGCCATTTTGAAATCTTTGTAACTTGGGTGCTTATAAACAATGCTTTAAAAACACTGTCTTTAGGAGTACGAGGAAGAGTTGAAAGCCAAATAAATCATTTTTCTTAATATTTATTTTTACACTTAACAAAGCTGCATGAGGAAAGGAACCCTATGGATTATAAGCACATTTTTTTCTGGGAATTTTCTCTGTCCTGACTGAAGAGATTTAAAAGGGGTTTTGCATAAATAATATTTCTTAATTTTTCCTTGAACCTGGGTTAACTTTTCAATATGCGGGAAGAATTTGGCACTAAGATGATAATATAATAGATAGGTTGGTTATTGGGCACTTCTCTGAGTACCAGGCAGTATAATTGCTTCACATGCATTATTTCATACTAACCTCACAGGAAGTACTACTATCTCCCTTTTCCAGGTTAGCAGAGAGGTATAGAAAGAAGCCAAGAGTCCTGCTAAGGAGACGCAACTGTTGAGTGGCTGAGGTTGTATTCAAACCTGGGTAGTCTGACCCTTGGGGACTCCTAATCACCACTTCCAAACTGAACCAGAACTAGTTAAACTTTAAACAGGAGGAAAAGCTCAGACTTTTAAAAAGTGGATGAATTGGGGAAAACTAGGGGAATAAGAGGCAGGAATTTAAAAGATTAATGTCTGCACCATTTCTACTTAGCAATATATTTATTATAATAACTATGTGAGGTGGGAGATGGACCTTGTTAAATATGGGGAGAGTAAATACAACCTAACAATGGAATTACCCCCTATGGTCCTTTTAAGGAAGACACAGAAGCCTAAGTGGGTTTAATTTAGAGAGACAGGACTGTTCTTAATACAATAATAGTTTGTAAAACTCCAGGGATTTCAGCAGTGTCCAGGATACTGCCTCAAATTTTTCAGGGACCGTTTTCCTTTTTTCTTAATTAAATTTCAGAGCTACTAGATAGAATCTTTGCTTATGTTGTTAGTTGGTACATTCTCCTGTTCCATGGGCTCTTTTTATATTTTGAAGTAGTGATTAAAAATGTTTAGTAATGAGGATATGGTGACGAGTGTGACAGACGGGGTTAAACCAGGTTGAAAGAAAGGAGATAGAATGGGGAGAATTTGAGTTGAAAACAGCTAGCAGAAACCTGTCGGCCCAAATTAAACACTAATTCCCTATTTTGGCACTTAAGAATTGAAGCAAGCATAAGGGCTTGTCTATCTAGTTGAAGCTTAGTTGGGGTTTCAGAATAGTACATTTCAAAATTAAATACTTTATTTCTTAGTCCTTATTAAAAAATTGTTTTCAGAATTATTGTCGCATTTGTCTGAATTAAGTATGCTACAGGACTTTTAGGATCATGTTGATAAAGGGAAAAAAGCCAAACTCTGGAGAATAATTTTAAAGAAATGCATTCTGAGCCAAATTTGAGGATCATGACCCAGAGCGACACCCAAGAAGCCTTGAGCAAGTGGACTTGCTGTGGCTGGGTTACAGTTTGGTTTTATACATTTCAGGGAGACAGGGGTTACGGATCAAGTCATAAGTCAATACGTGGGAGGCATACATTGGTTTGGCCCAAAAAGGTGATCCATCTGGGAGGGAGGGGGCTTACAGGTTATAGGTGGGTTTAAAGATTAAAGATTCTTTGACTTGTAATTGGCTAAAGACATGAAGCTTTGTTGCTACCAGATATGTATTTTTTGGTTAAATTGAGGACCTGCAGGTTTGTCTTGCATAGCCTTAGGCCTGTTAATGGGTCCCCAAGAAGGGAGGAAGGCATGTTGAGGCATGTCTGACCTCCCTCCTCCTGGCAGGCAATTTGGTTTTAGGATATTCCTTTGGCCAAGACAAGGTCCATTCAGTCAGCCGGTGGGGGGTGAGCCTTAAGATTTTATTTTAGTTCACACTGTAGATGATTTTCCTAAAAGTTGGTCTGAGTAAATCCCAGGGCCTTTAAATGCCTGGCGCAGCCACTTCTGAAAGTTGTCTGAAATTCGTTGCACATTAGAGTAGAGAAGGACAGGTTTACTAGATGTACATTTAACTTGTTTTCATCTATGACTATAAAAATGTATGTTTATGTTTACTATAAATGGAGACTAGAGTTTCTATTTTGATAATCTAGGAGTTTTGATTTCTAGGAGTTAATGAAATTTTACTACCACCTGCTTTTTATTATTTTTATTTCTTTTTTTTCTTTTTCCTTTTGGTCCTTGATTCAGGAGCGACATGGTTTTTAAATAAGGCCAACAAACATTTATTAAGAGGGCTAAGGTATAGGCCAAGTCTTCATCAATTGATAATGGTATGTTTTTGGTATGTATGTATGTTTTTGGTATGTAAATGAAAGCAAAAATATGTTCACATGTGTAATATGTAAATTTCCAAACTAACATTCATTCTTACACTAACCCCTCTTCCAGAAACCAAAACAACACTCTTAAACAAAATCTGGCCCTGTCTAAAGTTTGTGTTTTCTATGTGTCAGCCCTCTACCACAATAAACACCTTTTAACTATTAAGTATTTTAAGAACTTTGAGGATGAGAAGCACTTTGAATCAATCATTTTTTACAGCATATGTACTATAATATCTTTGTGTTACAAATCCTCATGTTTGAAAGTCTTTTCACGTATAAGAGCACGTAAGTTTATCTGGCCCAAACTGTGGTTATGGTAAAGACAAATCCAGGACATAAATAGGATTTAGGGAACCAAGTCATTTTTCAAACACCAGTTGATAAATGACTCTTGAGAGTTATTATAGTCCATCACCACCCTGTATTCTGAAAAATTTTTTTGAAATTCTTTAGCAATACTAAATAGCCATTCCTTTTTCCTAAGCTTGGAAATTGAGACTTTGGGGTCTATAGTATGCAGCTCACTGACAAGATCCAAACTCTATTGCTTTTTCAGATCAGAAAAGAAAAATGATGGGATAAGAAAAGAAAAATATTGATCACTTTGGCTTTGTTGCCTTCTGAGTTTATAAGTTTTATTTCCTGTGTGACTTAAGCAATTCTCTTTAATGGCTTTTTAAAATCTTTTTTGGTACTTGTCTTACCTGTGTATATCTGTGTTTTTTTCTCTACAGCTAAATTGTAAGCTCCTTAGGAGCTGGGCATTCAATTTATAGATATATGTATATTTTTAAGTGAGATATAATTCACATACCATGCAATGCACCCAGTTAAACCAAATTCAGTGGTTAAGTGTATTCATAGAGTTATGCAGCCGTCCGTCACTATAATCAGTTTTCATCACCCCCAAAAGAAACCCTGTACCCATTAGCAGTCACTTCCCCCCAACTCCCTTATCCCTTGGTAACCACTCAGTTATTTTCTATATCTATGGATTTGCCTATTCTGGACATTTCATATAAATGGAATTACACACTGTATGTCCTTTTGTGACTGGCTTCTTTAACTTAGCACGTTTTTGAGGTTCAACCATGTTGTAACATGTATGGGTACTTCATTCTTTTTTATGGCTGGATACTATTCCATTGCATGGATATACCACATTTATCTACTCATCAGTCCATGAACATTTGAGTTGTTTCTATTTTTTCTATTTCTTTTTGTTTCCTACAGTGGTGGTTCTCAAACTTGGTTGTATATTAGACTCACAATCAGTATTTAAAATGGTGACATCCAGGCTGCATCCCTCATGAAAT